TATCAGGATGGACTACTACTTTTACCCTTCATAGATATGTAATGCCTACACAACGACGTTATAACTGATGAAATATGAAGCCTTTACTCACGCCACGCCACGGCGGTCCGCGCTAGCCACGGTGTACACTGACTCATCCCTCAGACATTGAGATCTCCACTCATCACAAGCAGATTTGCTCAGCGAGTGGAGGTTACGAAACCTGAGGGACATTTGGCGAGGGCAGCGTCACTCGTTGCCGTGATCGAAAGCTAGAGGACAAGAAGAATCCCTATACAAAAATATATCCGTTAAAGTACTCCCTATATGTTTAGTACACACGCTACGAATCCCTTTGTTATGAAGTGGAAATCCATGACCCCATGCGTGTCACAATAGGTTCTCTTTTCTTTTGATACTGAATGTAGGTCGGATCACACTGTCTACTCTAATAACAATATATAAAATGGCCTTGGATCTAAGTCAAATGATTGGTCGAGAGCCGGTCACATGCCATCCGCATTTTTTTTGTTCTTCCACTAAAGTGATAGTAGACGGGTTTTTTTGTTTCAATCTAGAACACGTATACCACCGGATATGTGTTGATTTGTGATTAGATGAATAAACAAATAATGTGTTAAGATCGTAGCATATCCAAGATTTGACTGTGATTTGACATTAATTGAATGACTTTTACTATGATAAGAGGAAGAGAAAAGATCAGATTGGCTTCAAACCGAGAATAATTTTACGTCTGGTGTGGTGCCACAAAGACTCTTAGCCTATCGGACCTTTATGTCAGTCTTCAAAGTCCAACATATATCAATAATGATAATGATATCACTATTCCTAATAATGAATATTCGGCCTTATGGGTAGCAAAATTGAATGGTCTTTTCAGCCAGAGGAAAGACAACGTCCGCTTCAAAGCGGGACTAGTATTTCGACTGGCCCCATGTCATTATATCAGCACTTACTGTGATAGCTCTTCTTCTGCAGATTTCTTAATGAATATTTCTTGGTAGTGTTTTAATCAGTTATATTTTGTTACAATGTCAACATTTTCACTGTTATTATAATGTTTACACTGACAAAAAAAACCTGAAATATTTAGTTTATGTTGTATCGCTGAAATGTAATTGATTTGAATGTTGCAGAAGAAAAAGTGAATGCAGTCCAATTCAGTTCAAGTACGATTTGAAGGCGGTCGGAGCTTTTCTCCAGTCGGAAAGCCCATTATGCATCACAATTTTGATTCATTATTAATATACATTTAGGGACAGCAGGTAGAACATCTTGCAAGTTTTCAAATTGTATTGTTATTACTGCTATTCATTTCATAATCCGATCGCAGACGGATCGACCAGCATATTCCAGTCATACGAGACAATTATACACAAGGGTCGACACAGTCTGAATACAAATTAGGTTACCTTGAATAGCAAATAGTCGGTCGGTTGGAGTCGGTTTGCCTTTGTGACTGAGGCATTTGGAGACTTATAGATTTACACGACGAGAACGTGGACTGCTATAGGAGACAGCCTTTTAAGTCAATGTGACGTCCTTTTCAGGCACTTAAAAGGACGGCCTTGATTGTAAGGCCGTTGATTGTAAATTACTCTGAATGAAAGCAGAACATCAGAGAAGCAGTTAAAGTTTGAATGAAATCGGACATGATTGATTTGTAATGTTTTGTTGGGAACATGAATAAATTGAATCGAATGTAATTCATTTTTGAAGTTGTAATCACTTTAGGTCCTTAAATGAGCTGTATCGGAAATGTGTCTGTGATGTAGTGGCGGACAACTTTCGCATTTGTTCAATCTCTAGAGGCCCTATAATAATAATGATATCAACATGGGTGTCGATCCTTACGTAATACCTATTGTTCAGGGGGGGGGGGATGAATGAATAGATCATCCCCCCTGAACAATAGATATCAATTACAGATCGACACCCATGGATATCGATGATACATTTAGTGCCTAAAAGTAAGAGGTATTAAGGATAAAAACGTAAATTAATGATATATTTATACACGACAAACGGAAAAGTCATCCGCGGCTCACAGTCCCCTGACTAAACTTTCAATTCGAAATCCGCGTAGACATTTTGCAAAAACTCATAATGATCTTGTTATTAGTCCGGTTTAATTGAATCTTTCGCCATTATGTTTATCTTATTTAGCTGCTTTCATACAAATAAGCAAATTAAAAGGGTTGAATTACCCTTTAAGATGTGTATTGGGTTCGAAACATAATTACCTTGACTGGCCATGACTGATTGTTATTCCTTAATGCCATGGAAATAGCTCGGGTTCGTGTGCTATTGTCATTGTACTCATTATGCCACAGTCACACCGACACCACACTGAAAATTCACGGAACATAAGAATCACATCACATCATTTTATATATTTATTTATTTATTACTATTGTTATTATATAAATTAAATCTTGCTTTATTGATCTTTTGCATTTCTAATGAAACATGTTATAATATCAGCAATATGATGGAGTATAAAATCAAATTTGAATGAAGTTAATATACACATGTCTATTACATTAAACGAAAAGCGATGAGTGGCTAGGCCTATTACTAATACTAAGAAATTACATGAGATTACAAACAAAAAGAAATACATCAATCACCAGAAAAAAGAAGTAATATAGAAAGCAGTCACCTGGCCAAATAAAATAAAATAAAGAAATTGTAACAAACAACCTCTTGTTCCTATTGATCCCTTGATGTTATTCAATATGCCGGTCGATTTGGCAGCTTTCATGTCTAATTTGTTTTTCCTTGTGTAATGTTATGTTAAAAAAAAAATTACGGTGTGACTTCAGTTTTAGAACGGCTTCTGCAGTCAGTCCATCAGCAGTAGAAAATGGTTAAAGGGCAAATCGCGTCCCGGAACAAAGTCAATTCATTAAAAGCATAACATTATAGAAAATAGAGGAAAACGTTTTAAAAATCTTCCAAAAATAACAATTTGACTTTCATGACTGGAATCACTACAGACAAATCAGTATTTCGGTCATGAAAATGTAATCCCACGTGTACACTACTAGCCACCCCTCTCCCCTTTCCCCTATTAATCTAGATCCATTTTGTAGTTATGCATTTGTCAATTTAATTACCCATTATTACTAACTATCATTTAAAGGGGTCCACAATATTTATTGTACAAGCATTGCTTTTAAGTGGACCATTTTGTTTCCAATATGTATTGTGTAAATGATTAAAATTGATTTGTAATGTTCTGTTTGAAACATAACTAATTGAATTGAATTGAATTGAATTGAACCATTTATTTCATTTATCATTAATCATAGATTTGCTAGATGCTAATGAAGATGGTTAGGCCCTCATCTATCAAATTCTCGAATCAGATTAAGTATGCGAGTCCTGCCGCTAATGTCCTTTGGCAAGACATTAATCTACATTTGCAACACTCAACCCAAGTGATGTAAATGGGTCCCTGGCAGGAATTAATTCCTTGAGATGCTAGAGCGCCGTAATGGCAGTCGTGCCAAAGGCAGGGTAATAATCTCCCTCTGCGCATTAGAATAGTTTAAAAGATCGATGGCGCATGTCTGACGTCATTAAAAAAAACCCTCTTCATTACATTTTCAACAACCTTATAAATAATATTACTGTTATTTTTGTTTCCATTTTTATTCATCTTCAAAATGGTCTCACACACGAACCAACGCCCCCTTATTTTTAAAACGAACAAGCGAGGCCCGAATAGGTAGGTTGGTTAATTTAATTTCCGGTGATGATCAGCAATAAGAAATTTATGCCATTCGTTCAAGAAGTAAACGACCAGGGGAAAAGTACCTTTAATACAAATTGCGAAGACAATCAGAGAGACATTCAAAAGGCGACATCCAGGTTGGAGGAGGCAGGCATAATACATCAAGGATGACAATGCTATTGAATGGAAAGAATACAATAAACGGAGACGTAATTGCGGAAGATGCAACGACGTGAAAAGCAACTTCGCTGTGCCATAGACCCTATATGAATTATTTGTTTACCTTTCGAAAGAAGGTTAATTAGAAAATAATGCGCCTAGATGTTTACTTTGGGTGGTCAAATAAGAAAACTGTTCAGAATCATGGCAGACACAATGAAGGAGACATTAACGAGAATGGTAAGTTTCACATTTGCTCATTAGCTGGAATGTATTTGATTCTGTTTTTTGGATAATTCATAATTATGATTTTATTTAAATCGAACTGTATCATCAGTTTGTAAAGAAATGCGACAAAAGATTATGGTGATAAAAAAACAACAAAAACGTAATATTAAAACCTGTTACTCTCACGGTCAGTAACATAGTGAATGAAAATATTTGTTTTCAATTATTTGATAAATTCCTGTTTTCTTTGCAGTCTTACAGTCTCAGGATTCAGTACCAGCTCACTGCAGTCGTCTTCTTGATGTCATATATTGACGTCTCACGTAAGAACTCTTGTTTTCAACAGCTCTGTAAAAATGTATTATAAAGTGACTACATACGGGGAGATGTGTTCGTGTGTGTGTGTGTGTGTGTGTGTGTGTGCGTTTGCGTGTGGTCGTGTGCGTGCGTGTGTGTGTGTGCTTGTGTGTGTGTGTTGTGGGAGGGGGTAATATTCAGCAACACCAAGGAGGGGGTGGGAAATTGCAGAAAAATCCAATGTATATTAGTCATTCATCGTCATAATAACAAAAGGAAAGCAAAGTATTACAACAAAATCATCGTCATGACGGAGTGGGGAGGGTAGGGTGGGATGAAAATAGGTGTGAGGGTGTGCACATAGTGCTCATCTGTAGTTGTATTGCAGTTATAAGAAGAAACAACATTTACATTAATATTTTGTCTTATAAAACATAAGTACAATACGAAATATGATATATGCCAACGTACTAAAGCTCACTAAAGCAGGTTCAGGAGGGGCTGGCCATTTATAATATATTTTGGTCGTTAAAGGATTATTTGGACGTTCGTATTTTCATTTTAAATCTAGACGCGGCATGTCCATCCTACTGTAAGCCACTTGTTCTACCTGACGCATCTATCATTCAGATGATGGCGATGAGGATAGAGAATGGTCCACTCTTTGCCGAACTAACTGATTCACTCCAGCACTACATGTGCATACCCCCACAAGGTAAGTCTTCTTAAATGTATCCCCATTCAGTATGATCCTGCCTATAAATCTGGGGAGTGTTTCACAAAGACTAATGACGTGACTTGTAGATCCAGATCCTAGATGTCGTTGGTGCAGTCAAAAGAATTGTAGAACCATTCGTGCGTTAATGAAATCTTTGATATATTATTGTATGTTCTCTCAATATTGACCGATAATTAATGAAGTCGAACCATTAGCAAGTTTAACATACGAATTAGCAGGCGTCGGGAAAACCGCTTTAATTTTAAGAAAAAGGTCAGTAGTACATTATATCAAACAAGGTAAAACAGTCTTTAAAACAGGGCATTTATGATTTCTGCTATTTGAGGTCTTGTGTTTGTTATTTAGTCATGTGGCTCTGATTCAATGCACAAGTACCCATTGCTTCTGCGTTGAACTATAATCTATTTGTAGTTGATTTTTTTTCCCGTGTAACATTCCCTTCAGAGCAGTAATTAATATATCACATATGAGTACATGCTTATAGATCAACAAATGACAGGAAAAATAGTGGCTTCCTAGTCCTTAATACGCGGTACCAGCTAACCAGGGCAAATACAATAGTTTGAGAAACCTGTGGCAATGTACATCAATTCGTCCTTGTTTTCACGAAGAGACGGTAGTGAGGAAAGTCGTAACGCAAAGTGAATGCAATTTTTTTCTCACTATCGTCACTTTTTAAATTTTTTTTTTTTAATATGATAGGCCACTCCAAATTGTATTAAAACGAAACGGAAATTCTTTTTGCCCAATTGATCGTGAGCCCGGCAGCCACTGAGCAGTGCCAGATCGACGTTGCTCTGTCCCTTAATGTTGAACGCCAAACAAGGTAGCAACAACTCCCATCTGTTAACGTCTTTTGGTATGACGCGGCCGGGGTTCGAACCCACGACCTCCCGGCTGTGAGGCGGACGCTTTACTGACTGAGCCAACACTTCGTAAAAACAGCGACGAATTATAAAGCGATAATACTCAAATGCAGATACCACATTATTCATTCACTTCAAAATCTTTCTCTCACAGTGTCAATTGCAACATTAACAACATCTTCATCTGGCGACGATGCAGGCAGTACAGGTGTACTTACAGATGTTTCTGCACTTGATCCATCTTTACCGTCCATTCGACTACCCTCATCGGTATCCATGACAGTGACTCAAGAGACGACATCATCTACAGTAGCCTTTGGAGATCCCACATCCTCCTCCACTTCGTTGACGACGAGCAGTGGGGTTACTACGGTTGACACGCCCACGCAGGCCAGTACATCAGTAAAACCTGCTACAACTAATCCGCCCAATCCTGCTCCTAACGACAGTGAGGCTGAGGATGATTAATATTTCCATTATTCTTCATGTCGAAAAAATAACGTGAATGGTAAATGCTTGTGGTGAATGAACATTGTTTATGATCTGTCTATCTGGATAAATTCCATTATAATTATGTGTGTCAACCTCTAAAAAGATATCTATGGTAATGTCGTCGTAGACACCTCTCACCATTTAATAATATTAATATGTATTTTAAATGAGCTTAATCTCAAATGCCTGAATTTCTTCTCAGTTTTGTTTTTGTCCATCTAATTATTTTATTTTCTACATTTGATTCCTAGTATGGAAGAGAGTTATTCATATAAATATGTTCCTACAGTTACCTGTTTTTATTTGTGATAGGGGTTGTCAACACAAGCCTTGCTTTTCGCGTTTTTGCCCCTTTATATTGTATGATTTACTTTACTGATCTATAAGTTTACAATTTTTCTGATAATGAGAAGAAAGTTTCAATTTCAATACTATCATACAAATAGTACACAGCAGTGAAGGGCATCAGTAAGAATTACCCACACAAGGTACCTTTGGAACAGGCTAACACGCCCGAGGCGATAGCCGAGGGTGTTTGGACTGTTTCGAAGGTACCCAGTGTGGGTAATTTTTTACTGATGCCCGAACAAAGTGATGTGTATTATTTGTTTTATAAAATGATGTTTTATTTGTTAAAATTATGTTTTATAACATGATATTACTAATGAACGGTCATTAGTAAAATGACGTGTTAGGCAAAATAAATGCCTGGTCACATATACGCTCTCAACCAATCATTTGATTATGATCCGCTTCACCATCTTATAACTATTTATATAGCGTCATCTATCTTTTTAAACTACCAGGGGATGAGAGAACACATTCTATTATAAAAAAAATCCGGAGCATTACTAATAAGTCTTTTGAGTTTTGAGGGGAAAACTAAACCACATTATGTACCAATCCAATAACAAATTATTGTTCTTTTCTTGAAATTGGCTAAGCTTTCTGAAGTCGTATCGCGCACACCGTCCCTCTATCCTTTTAATTTATTGGGTTTTACATTTCCGTACTTCTGAGGGCAATTTGGTTAAACTGAGGTCGTGTTGTGCATGATGTAATATGTCGGTGTGATAATTTACTGTTATTCTGCTTATTTTTGTTTGATAGATTCGAATTTGGAATCTTAGTGTACATGTTCTTCTTCATTGGTCGCAGATGATCAATTAAAAACAAAACAGACTGAATACTCATTTGATAAACAGCAGTTTTCGGTAAGTTAAAAAAGTAGTTGGTATCCGATTTAAATTACATTTTTTTTTCTATTCTTGTCTAATTCCATATCTTTCATTATCCTACAAATCACCGGTGATATGCGATTTACAGGTTTCCTTTAATTTATCATTGTTATTATCATTATTAGCATAATCATAATTATTATCATGATCATTATTAGCATAATCATAATTATTATCATGATCATTATTAGCATAATCATAATTATTATCATGATCATTATTATTGTTATTATTATTATTAATATTATCATTGTTTTTATTAATACTACTATCATTATTATCATTATTATCATCTTTATCAATATCATTTTTGTTATTACTGTTCTTTAAAAAAATGATTATATTAAATTTCAATATGATGAATAGGTGTTACAAAGCCTTAAAGTAGACGCATTCTACAGATATTTCGGTACTGTTATTTGACAATTTTCTTGTAGCATTTGGCCTTAGATTATCATGATTACAGTTTAGATATGAAACCTCGTTTGCATTTTTGACTCCTTTCACGATTTTTTTTTTTTTACTTCATGTCATAACAATATTGATATATTTCACTGCTAATCATTTTTGATAATGTTATTCCATTTCTTAATGTTCCTTATTTATATTTAGGTTAATAAAAGAAGAAGAAATAGTGCATCAAATTATATATAAATCAGTCAAATCAATTAAATCAAATGTAGAGTTCTCAGATCCTAATTAATTAATTATTCAAATTTTAATTGTTCAATTCTGCTATGCAATATTATGTTATTTAAACAGAGCATTTATTGTCCTTATTCACAATATATACACATTCAAAGATGAAAATAGTTTGTAGACATGATTAAATTAGTCTTAGTTATATTGAAAATATCCTAATTCTTTGATTTTAAAAAATAGCTTGCAGCTGCAGTGGTTCCTATTTGAAGACAATTCCCATGGTTTCCAATTTCTAGATTAATTTCTTGTATCACCTAAAATTTGCAATTTGTGTGTACGCGTTTTGCCATTTACTTGGATCTGTTTTTGTTCCCACTGTCTGTATTTTGTATATGATCTTTGAATATGTAAATTCAGTATCAATTCAACCGTAAGGGTTGCGAGCATTGAATAAAATAAATCTTGAATCTTGAATACCCAACATTCTTAGAGATATCAAACTAAAAGTAAATAAAAGTAATCTCTGCTGATCAGCGTGAAATCAATGAGAAGCAGTTGGAAAGTATGCATGTTAAAGAAAGAAAGAAATAGAGAGAGAGAGAGAGAGAGAGAAAGAAAGAGAGAGAGAGAGAGAGAGAAAGATAGAGAGAATGAGTGTTGTGTGTGTGGAGGGGGTGTATGCTGGAGATATAGAACATGTAAAAGCCGGGAAGAATGAATTGAATGATTGTCTGAGGATAATTAAGTGAATGTTTGCAATCCCTCATTTTCTTCGGAAGCATGAAATAATAGAGAGTGCGTTTTATAGAGAATATATATATATATATACATGTAGATATAAAAAATGGTTATGAATGAATAAACAAATATTTTTGTTATGACTACAAAATAATTTTCATTTGTAGTTTCATCTACATAACCACCGCTAAACACATTTCAAGATAGAACATTATGTACGTGTATTCACATAGAGAATAAGTTCGGATAATTTTTTCCCGATTCTTCACCTCTTTCATCAATGTATCCGTCCTTCTCTTGGAGCACTGATTTGACTTATCGGAGTCGTATTTTTTTTTAAACAATATATTTCATGAATATATTGTTTATCCTAATTGATCACCAGTCTCCTCAACACGCTTAATATTCTCAAAGTATGAGTGTCAAATATTGTACTTAGAAGATTTCTTTATACATATTTCCATCAATGATCTTTTTAAAAGGTTTATGTTTCTTACGTTGTTTATGTGCAAGTTAAAATTGCGACTAGATAAAAATAATACTAATTATAGCAATCATCTTCAAGCATTTTGGTAACCATTCATATCAATTATGGTATTGAGAGCCTAGATGCATCATTCTGAAGTAATGAACTTGGAAAGAAAAGGTACATTATTTAACTTGTGTATTGATTTCCATTTGACAAAAATATTTTCCTTTAATGGATCAATAACCTTGCTACTTTAATTTCCGGTAACGTGCAAGATGAGGTAATTAACTCTATTCTTTGGGTGAGACCAGACAGAATGGGAGAGAGTACGAGAGAGAGAGAGATAGAGAGAGAGAGAGAGGGGTTGACACGCAACCTCTCTATAGACAAAGGAGGTAATTATTCAGAGAAACCAATGATGAATGAGGATGGCATCACTTTTTTCAAAGACGGTATCTACATTGGCAGATGTCCGCAATTAAAAGAAAATTGTCTGCAGATGTAATGACCATTATGAGATGGAGTTCAACCGGAAGTGAGGGTCAATTCGGACATGATATAGAACCCAGAGATCTTTGAAAGGGTGACATATACCCGGATAATTGCCAGCCACCGTCGTACTTAAACGGTCTTCTACAATAAGTGTGGACAGTTTTCAAGACGTTTTAAAGATGGTAAGAGTGCTTTTACTTTCATTCTTGTGAAAATCATTAAAATTGTATTGTAAAATGATTTTTTTTTTATTTGTAAAATTGGTTTATTCGGATTGAGTAATCTTGTATGTTTGTAATGGTTAGCATGATCAAAGCTGAATCTCGATAAAACGGTTTGTACGATCCCCAAAATATCAAGACATATGCCTTCAAATGCCTTTATATTCTAAATATGACTTGTAACAGAAAAATGGGGGCCTAATTTGTATGCCTAATGTTTGTGTACTCCAACATATAACTTTCTGTGTACAGAGTGCTTGTTACTTTTACCAAGACTGGACTGAATTCTTATCATTTTGATGATTCCAGAACCTTGCAGTACACATCAATAATGTTATGCAACATGGTCAAATGTTCCGATCGATTCGCTTCTTTCACAATGCAATTTAATGACCAGAACTCAACTTTATCTTTAAGTGACATTTTGCCATCAAATTTTAGGTGAATTTGTGACTCCCAATATTACAGAGGGGCTTTAAATACATTCCCAATAACTTGGCTTTTATTCACCTTTAGAAAGTTCGTAATTCATCGCCTACGACACATTAATTAATTCGATTCACACTAAAAATATTTTCATAGCGCAAGTCTTTCGTTATGTTCAATTCAGGCGATGATAATGCTTTCAGCATGTATGGACAAAACATCGATTGGCCATGATAAATACTATGGGCCATATTTTCCTGGTAGTTTTACCATAGCTTTGCTTCATATACATAATTTTTTTACTTCAATCTTTCATTTACTGACAGTCCACCCTCGTGTCTTCGTACCAGCTCACGGTGTTCATGTTACTGATTGCGTACATTGACATTACACGTAATTATTTGCCTTAATTTTTTGTTTACTCCTTGTCACCCAAGTTCACTTCGATCTACATCTGCTCCGTTTTTCCTCATTCTTAATTCCAGAAAAAAAACTGGGTTCATTATTTTTTTCAACCCGTTGTCCTACGTCTATAGAAAGAACTCCCTGCATGTCTGATAAATAATACTTTGCTCTAAAAAAACACAACTCTACGATTCATAATTTTACCAGCACCTTGTATCCTCTAAAATAGGCGCTATATAAATCCCATATCATTATCATAATTATCATCATTATCATAATAAATTGTAAATATAATCATCATTATTATTATCACTATTATAATAATAATGAAGATGATTATTATTATCATTATTATATCATTATTTTCATAATTATTTTTATTATCATTTTATGGTCATCATTATATTCATCATTATTGGTATAATTTGGTAGTATGACGTTTAGATTGATACATATTCTTTTTCGCAATTACTCACGTCTTTCTTTTCAATGTAGATTTGGCAGATGCATCGTTTTGTAGGCCACTGTTAATGGCAGATTCGTCTGTAATCAGGCCGGTTCCAGTAAGAATAACGAATTACCCATTCGATACTATACATAGTGGTAAATTCCAGCACTACGCCTGTATACCCCCTCAAGGTAAGTATTCTCAATGTAATTTGCTCTCTTTTCATTATTTTTGTCTCGCCTGCATATCAAAAGCGAGACATAGGCGCCGCTTTTCCGTTGGCGGCGCGGCGGCGTCAACATCAAAAACTTATCCTAAGGTTTAGTTTTTGAATTTTTAATATCATTTTGAAAGTATATGTTACTTTTCAGTGAAACTTAGACTAAAGGGTTATCAAGTATCTCCAATCATGTGAGTATAATTTCAGGTCACAAAATTAAGGTCAAATGTCATTTCAGGTCAACAAACTTAGACTATGTTGTGGCACCATAATTAAGTTTTTTGAATTTTTAATATAATGTTGAAAGTATAAGTTCTGATTTAATGCAACTCAGACTAAGGGTTATCATGTACTCCCTATCATGTAAGTAGAACTTCAGGTCAGTAAGTTAAGGTGAAAGGTCACATAAGGTACGTAGACTTGGATTACGTTTTTACAACTTAATATGAGAATTAATAGAAACGTTTTTGTTATTTTTTCACAATTCATGAAATTATCAATCTTGGTACAATTGTAGTAAATATTGCGTCAAGCGTTTCTCTTGTTTAATAACCTTTGTTCTAAAAGCTTGCATAACATGAACTATGATAAAGCTGCATAGGTATGCATATGTTCATCCCATCGGGGCTATTTGACGATGAGTGTTTTTTATGGCCATTGATCAAATGGAAAATGCTGAAAGAGGCTCCCACCCCCGTTCTAAGCCTAAAAGTATACCCACAGACTCTAGAATTCAAGTCATTTTACAACAAAAGTCAACCAGCACTAGTTAATATCTACCACTCACTCCCACCGTATACGATTAACCTTCTTTAAATTTGACAACTGCATCGTTTAGAATAGCTAATGAAATAAGTTGATCCTGTTTACAATACGAATTTTTGAAGACCCCCCCCCCTCCCCAACCATTCTATAACATAAACCATAACGTAATGTATTGCACTTATTTTACTTTATAAAGTGATGAACAGACAGTTTCCTCAAGGGACCTCGTCGTCTGCTTTAGCATCGGCAACATCATTCTTTGATCAAGTAACTACTCCATCGGAAGAAGAAGCAGCTTCAACACCGGTAGTAACTTACCTTGAATCAACAACAGCACAATCAACTCTCACAACGCAGACAATAGATGTTTCTTTTGTAGAGGGGATTCATACAACGCCGGCGACGCTGCCTCTTACAACGTCAACAAGTCACATGACAACCCCATTTGTAACAAACCCAAGCAGTCCCATCACAAGTGCCGAGTTAACAATGTCTACGAGTGATCCCATGGCAACTCAGTTAACTGCAGCAGACGTTCCCACAACAACCACTCAGTCCACAACAACCAAGAATCCTAAAACAACATCAACAGCAACAACAACAACAACAACAGATGTTTCTACATTAACTACTCAATCTACGACAACATCGATTTCTACTACAACAACCGAGCATTTGACAACAACAACAACGATTCCTACAACAACATCAACGATTTCATCTACATCAACCCAGTCAACAACAGAGATGATTCCCACTACAACGAGGACGGTCCCCACTACAATGTCCCAGTCTAGAACAGCGATTCCTACAACAACATCAACGATTTCAACTACATCAACCCAGTCAACGACAGAGATGATTCATACAACAACCATCGAGTCGCAAACTACATCAACCCAGTCAACAACAGAGAAGATTCCCACTACAACAACGACGATCCCCACTACAACAACCCAGTCTACAACAGAGATGATTCCCACTACAACAACGACGATCCCCACTACAACAACCCAGTCTACAACAGCGATTCCTACATCAACCGCCGAGTTGCAAACCCAAAACATTCAGAGTAAGTTTCAAGACTATTGGGATAAGTTTTTCAGTAAATGTTATATATCAAGAGTACTCGAAACACCATTTAACATGTTTTAGTATAAAAACATCTCAAATAATAAATTTACATCTCAGTTAACATTAAAGGCATGTGTTCAAATAGATTTCCTACATCTCAGTGAACATAAAGGCAATTGTTGTATTTGCTTTCTAGTACTATTATTTTGTATGGTCGTGACCTTTCAATCGGTGGTAATTTTTGATTTCTAAGAAAAATAACCAAAAACATATGTCATTGTAATTATAAAGTAGGTGTCGACTTGGAAGGGGCAATATGTTTGGATTGGATTGGGGGGGGGGGGGTTCTTATTCGCATAATATGAAATTAACAGAATTAGGAAAACCTTCTCCCAATTATTTTGATCGGACCCAAGTTAATGTGAGCCATTCTTTAAAGGAGCTACACAAAGAAAATTCACTAACAACTGATAATTAGAACAAATTACATATGGATGGAAAGATTTTCATTTGAAAAAACACGAATAATTTGCCGAGAAATTATATAGATATCATGGAAAGGCGTAAAATGCAATTTTTCAAGACCCTTCTTAGACCCCCAAGCGACCCCGAACGTAAGCCAAACACACGAGCGTAGCGAGCTCTGAATTATGACGTCACACACTGGACGAACAGCTCAGTGCCGTGTAGCAGTATGCAGCTAGCCAGCCGTGTCCCGGGTGTGACGTCACAAATATTGACGCTCTACAAAGGACCGCTGAAGGCAGAAAATCTGGATCTCAAAACTAACATTTTTGAGAGTTGATTACTTCGGGCCCCAAACATATTTTGAAGAGGAGGGTTGTTGTATTTGATTAGTAAGGCTTCCCCTTCGCAATGATATGAGTTTTGCATCAATTCAAAATATTTTTGCTTCTTAGTGTGATTCCTTTAAAATAACATGACATTAGGAAACCCTGAGGTAAACTTTTATCAAGGTGTTGCATTTTTAATTTTCGTCTTTAAACAATAACATGTTTAACAACTAAGAACTTCCTTTCAAAAAGAAAGAAAAACAAAACAACGCGGGGGGGGGGGGGGGGTAGGGGTGGAGTAGTGCGCATGTGCAATTTATCTCTACCTACCTACGTGCATTTTGAAAGAGCGTAATAAATAGGTTTGGTCCCGATGTAGAGGGCATTCAGACGTTGTTGCTAGGCAACTTCCGGATATAATAACTATGTAAAACCACCTTTTCCTTGACCGTAAGTCGTATTTCTTGTGTTTTCTTACAAGATGCCAAGGTTTTCGTCACCGACAGTAGTGAAAATAAGATCTTCTGGGCTGATCTACAGAGTATGACATTCACCGAGATGCCCCTAGCTACAGACAAACCATGGGGTGTAACCTATGACCATGTTGAGAATAAAGTCTATTGGACAGAAACCGGAGACAAACTGATATGCAGTGCTAATGTAGACGGGACAAACAAAGAGAGCATTCCGAACTTTAGCTACGATGGTAAATACATATTATGTTAAATTATGTTTACTCTAATTTCTTCGACAGTCACGCTAGTCACGTGTGCTCATAGAAGAGTACAAGTTACTATAATCTTTTTGAACCTCGGCTATAACTTTTCCAGAATATCTAGAGACGTCGATCTATATTTAGGGGTAGGGGTAAACGCAAGAATTTAAGGATTCTGATCTGTTAATTCCGGAATTCTGCTTCTTCCAGTAGAAGAACAAAAAACGTCAACACTATTATTTTATTCAAACCAACAGGCCCTGTAGACATCGCCATTGCGGAGTCAGTGCGAAGGATTTATTGTGCTTTTCGAGACGATTCCGTCATCAAATCGATCAATCTAGATGGAACAGGAGAGATGGACATGGTTTCCAACGATATCGACAAGCCACGTGCCGTCGTAGTCTTTGAGACAACACAGTAGGTGCTTCTGATCTCCCCCCCCCCCCACAACAAAATCAACAAAATAAAAAAATCATCGGGGCATTCCAGGGCAATATCACACTAATAGGTCAACCCATTGTATTTATCTATGTATCTGGAAATATCTTGTATCTTTTTTTTTTTTGGAAAAAATTATGAGCAGTACGACAAATTGTTACCAACGAACCCTTAGTGACACATTTTATTCTAGAGACCCTTAAGCGGCTGACGACTCTTGTCAGAATAGCTTTCTTCTTTACGCCAGTGTATGGATTTTGGGAGAGAGAGAGAAAGAGTTTTGGGCGAGCAAATAAGAACATCTTTCTCCCTCTCAATACATTTTAAAATTTAAATCCAGGAAGATGATGATGATTCACAGCATTTATATTCCGCCATATATCTGTTTAAAAAAAACATCCAAAGGCGCGAGCTCCTCCAATAAACTTAGTATTTAAATCTCTGAAGGAACGTCATTATTCAAGTGAGAAATTCAATGTATTATATCTAGTACATGAACATGGCATTTAGTAAGTCATTAATCTACATTAGCCACACTCGACCCAGGTGAGGAAATGGATACCTAACAGGAATAAAGTGTGGAGCTCCAGTGTCAAGTCTAACAGACACTAGCGCTATACAAGAACTCACTATGGATATTATTATCTTAACAAGACATTTTCAATCATAACATTTCGGAATTTCGTGTAATAGGTGGATATTTTTCATGTTTATTATTCTTTTGTTCGTATCGTTATAGACATCTATACTGGTCTCACACAAGCAAGATAGAACGGATTAATTTAGATGGGTCGGGACGAACGTTGTTGTTTGAAGATGGATTGTATGACAAAATTGTTGGATTGGACGTTAGTCTATCAGGTAAGCAAAATGTGGAGTGTTTATAGTCAGCAAACACTGTATCTCTACATTATTTTGTCTGTAAATGATTCTTTTTATCAAATTGTGTCGAACTAGAGATCGTTTTTGGAAATCGGAATGATATATATAATATTTTGTGAAATCTTGTGTATCGAATTTTTTTTCTACAAATTTGTTTCATATCGGATGAGATCAAATAATACTCCCTTAAATTCAAAACATGCGATATCCTTTGACAAAAAAGGGTATAGTGTCAGGAATTGAGGATGCATATGTTGCAAATCGACCTGTGTATCTTCATTACAAGTAGAATTTAAATTTACATTTATTTAATCTACAAATGTTTTTCCGTCTCCAATTTCACCTTACATCATGTTAAGTTGGTGTTTAGTATGCATACGTAAATACAAATTATGCAAAATGTAGTGTGTGTTTACTAAATTTGTGATGGACCAATTTTTTAAAAATCAGATACGTTAAAATTCGTCAGAAATGTATATTATACTCCTTTTGTTTTAATTCTATATTAGACAATCGTATATACTTCGCTGACGAAGGCGCCAAAGAGATCGTCTTTACTGATCTACTAGGTAACGGTAAGCAGCAGATCCAGGACGTGTCTGGTAACTTCCTACCACAAGATGTTATGCTATACAATGGGGTGATGTACTTTACAGACAAAGGTACCAAGGGGATCGTCAGCTGTAGTGATTTCACAGAGTCGGATCCAAATTTTATTGAGAACTCGAGCGAAGTATTTCCAAATCCACGAAAGATGCACATCACATCTATTGCTTAAAACAATACCCAAAACTTATTTCAAACGCTACCCCCTTGGCAAGATATTAATCTACATTGCCACTCTCCAACCAGGTGTAGTAAATGGATACGCGGTAAGAAGACTTACCTTGAATGCTTGAGCGCCTCATCATGGTAGCGTGTCTTAAGTAGGGGGTGATTGCAGGGCCCTCGGAGAGAACAGTATTGATACTGATGATGATGATACCCTTCTTCTTCTTCTTCTTCTTCTTCTTCTCCTTCTTCTTCTTCTTCTTCTTCTTCTTCTTTTTGTCATTGTTATCAATATAATCATCGCAATTATAATGTAATTTGACTTTTGAAGAGTGGCGTCATAACTATATGTCATATATTATTGAAGTGACACTAGCGTTTTGTATGGTGAAAAATTCTCGGCGTTTTGGGGGAAATGTGCTGGACATGGTTGGTAAATGGATGAATTGTTGGACTAGCCATGAAGCACAACTGCCCATCCATTATGCAGAGTAATAAAAGGCACATGACTGTATTTAACGAAATACACATGTACCTGTTGTTAATATATACTCCAATATTAGTTAAAATGGCCTCTAGTATGGAATAATTCGATTTAAAATCTGGTAACATTAAAACAAGAATGTAGACCCATCTTTTTCAACAGAGCTAGTCTTCTGTACCTTTTTCTATGTTTTTTTTAAACCTTATAAATAATGGATGTAAAATGTAGCACAAATATTTGATGAAAAATTTATATATTTAACCAATGCACATGACAATTATGCATGATTGGTTCATTCAAGTAGTCAACACCTGCATGTGTGAAACAGCTTCGTTATTGATCTCTCATCTAAAACTGTGCCTAGTATTTCATTTGTGTGTATATCAGCCCTACTTATTTATTATCATTTCTTAGTTAATCAAGCACTAATTTATTGAAACGTGTAGGTTAACTTATGACAAAAGTATTAATGAACATAATGAGTATGTCAAAAATATAAACTTGGAAACAGAAATAAAGATGTGATTAAAGTTATAAATTGTCACCGTATAACTAGTCAGCATATCATTTCGATCAAAATAATGTTCAATATATTTCTAACACTGGTTGGTAAATGGGACGTCATTTCTTCAGGTGACAAAATTCATTTTTATATGTGTTCAATTTTTGCTCAGTAGGCCTATGTTGACGTATTTTCTAATGTATATTGACTAATCTGCAATTTAAGTTAATGGTACTATTTTTGTATTTAATTACGTTTTCTCTTTACAGAAAGAGACCACGATATAGAAGAGTTCCATATACTTACCCACTAATATCATACACTTATTGAAATAATGTATGCTTCATGTAAAACACGTTAGCTGTATTGTGTGCCTTTTTGCTGGAATTAATTCATATATATTCCTTGCGATTTGTCTCATTTCCTCTCTTCACAAACGTTGCTATAATATCTCCATTGCGAAATTTTAGAATTCTTTTTGAAGGAGAGTAAATGAGAAAAATATTGTTAGTACCGTTCAAAGCTGTAAAGAAACGCACTCTGTATAAAATATATATTTGATCACAGATCCACATAAACTGATAATTGTTGAGATATAGTGTCATGCTCGGGGATGTGGAGAGTGGATTGCTGTTTAAAGAGTGGATACAGCATTATTATCATGGCTAGTAAACAGTGTTGTCATTTTCTGCTAAAATTATCACGAATTTATGTATTGATAAATTAGCATTTAGGTGATTTTTATTACTAATTTGAAGAATGGGATTCAATAATGATATTCTGGAGCCTTTTGTCGTGGTATGGTTGTTTATACTCATGACTCTCATTCCAATGGCTGAGGGTTCAAAACCAAGCCTAGCACTATTGTCTCATTGGCGTGACATCAATCCGGATTTGCTACCTGGCAATTAAGTTAGAAATATTTGGTTTAAAGGTAATACAAATTTTTGGTATGGGGTCATGGTATTGGTTCAAATAAACATATTGAAGCGTCCGTGATCCTGCAATATTCAGTGATCGTTGTCGCGGTTGAAATCGAGTCTAAGGTTATGAAATTATAAATAAAACACTCTTCATATTGTATAGCTCCCTCTTAAGGTCAAGATATTGATTGAGCTATAAAAAAATGTTTCTTGACTAAAATTGACCGATTAGCTATTCCCGTTTGGTAATTATATATCACAATAACATATTCTGAGATGTTCATGGTCGCAGCTACCATTCTACGACCGTAGGCGCTATTTGAAATTTATCAAAATTTACCGGGAGCACCGGTAAATTTGTATATTCAATTTTTCTCGAAAGCAGAAGTGTTTTAGGATCTAAATTTTCTAGTGCTTATAATACATCCACAGGGCGTCCAAACATATCAAAATTAATCGTAAAGAATCACTATCCGCCCAATTTTCAAAATTTCCCGAAACTTTGTATTACCTTTAACTAATTTGCATCTAGTTAGGTAAATTGTTTTCTTTGCAATTATTAATATCTGATTAAAAGAATATAATTCTTCGACAGTATACCAAGAATTACCGTTTTTTCGTTCAAAATCGAGAAATCAAACATAGTCAACTCTTTTCCGAGCTGATTCCAAAAATCATGTACTTTTATACATTTCCAAAAAAATCGTTCAATCGTTTCATTTTCTAGGTCACAAAAAGAACATAATGGGGAACTAATGACTTTCATTTTATACAGTTTATAATATTTAGAATATTATTTAACACCTTGAACTGAAATTCTCTGTAAATTACATCAATTGTAGTTGAAATGATACCTGAACGAGCCAATAACAATTCTTTATCTGAAACATCATATCTATTCTTTAGTCTAAACGTACTGAATGGGCATTCATATTTCTCTGCGACCAACAGATCATACAACTGTTTGCTTTTTATTCTGTTCAAAAAGATCAACTCGGGGGGGGGAATAATATTGGAAGTAATATCGTTTTTGAATGGATTTGTATAAATTATTTTAGGAATATTTATCTTTGATAACGAAGAGTACACTCCCTGTATCCTAAAGTAATCATTTGCATCTAGTTCAAAAAACCTTTTCATGTCATCTTGTTGCTTTAAATTGCCCCCTTCTGTGAGGATGTCACTAAAAAACACATTTTTTTAATGAAAAGTTTTCGAAAGAAAATCATATCTAAATTGACTTGTAATTGTCTATTGTTCCAAATAATCTGGAATTTTGTACTATCCTCTCTGTTTCTCACATTGAGAGAGTTCCATCTTTCTAAAATAGCTCGATAGAACTTAGGAATGTTTTTGTCTAACACTTTATGACTATAGTTACAATTAAACAGGAACAAACCACCGTTCTTTTTAAGATAATATTTAAGAATTTGAAACCATCCTTGTTTCTCGGCTTCTTTTATTCTTTGAATCCCATATAATTGCTGTGCGCTGGCAGATGACTGAACATCTACCGTCTTAATTCCTCCCTTTGACAAATCTTGGATCATTACATTCCTTCGAATTTATCTTAATTTGATGTTTCCTTTTAAACCACGATAGCTACAAATGTTCTCCTTTTTTTCTCCATCACCAGCAGCCCTTCATAATAACGTCTGTACAGTGGATTCCAAACTGCTCTCTTCCTATTAAAAATCAACGTATTATTTATAGGAAGAAAATGGGGTCGATCGTTTAATGTATTGACTTACTTCTTTGTTTCCGTCACGAGTGAACCAGTTATTGATGTATTGACAATGATGTTCTATACTGTTACCATCGCCACCATTCCAGGCGCATGGATGTTTGAATGTAGTGACATGAAATTATGGACAGTTCTACGTAAAATAAATAAAGCTATCTCACGCTGCTCAATGCTAACAAATGTAAAAATACATGTAGATAGAACCAGGGGTACACTTCGTGTATCTTTAACGTCAATGCTAACGTGTGAATAAAGGCAAAGCTTTTACCAAGTTTGCTGAACATAAACTTGTGCAAACATCAATCGATATCGAGTAGAAAAGAGAAAGTTAGTGAGAAAATGAAAAAGAGAGGATGGATGATTTGATAAAGAGATACCGGAGAGTGGAGACAGACAAAAGGTGGACAGAAGAGGGAATTGTATATATTGTTACCATGGATACACGTTACTGATACAGTCGCTTACACCTTTTTTTTTGCAGCTTATTGAATGTAAAAGATGGTTGATTAAGGTATGAAGATCGTGTAAACTGCGTTAAACACACACGTGATGAGTAAAATGTAAAACGAAGTGGACTGCGTTTTGGTCATTGCACACTAGCATCGCACAATGATATGGTCGACATTTTATATATTTCACGATAGCTTATCATTTGAATGGTCTCTTTCACCTCGTTATTCGATGGGGACAGAACTATTCATGCGACACAAGCTCTGAAATTTGAAACATCAGAATGGTAATATATATCTTTAATTACATCAGCATTTAAAGTATCCCATGGTTTGTTTTCGTTGTAACAAGAGCATGATCAATTCTAAATGAGTTGATAATTATTACGCGTTTGAAAGTTCTAACTTGAAACTGTATGTCTGTAAATGTCTAAGAAATATGTTTTCTTTCTAGCATTGCACACTCATCTGTTGCTTGTATTGGTCCAAATAAGCATTTCTATGAAATGACTAAATTGTTATGATATAATTAGACCTATCAAACTTAACAATTGGTAACACTAAGCTGAAACACCTCGACATCGTGTGACACGTTTTGAATTCAATAGGGGATATACTAAGACAATTCAAATGCATCCACTAAATTTAAACGGAACTTCGTAATATGAATATCGTATTTGAAGCATTATTTAACTGGCCTGTTGGACACAGTTTGGTTTCTGAATTTCGTTGAAAAATTGTGTTGTTCAGAGAGAAAATTATAAACTCTATTACCTTTTATTGGCAAAT